TATATGTATATGTAGCTCTGGTGGTCTAGCTGCAATCCTCAAGACACATGGTTCAAGGCTACCTGCTGCTCTGTAGAAGAAGGACAAGCAATCTCCTCCAGTGCAATTAGCAGCTTCTGAAAACCCACTGGAGGGTCAGCTAGGGCTTGGTTCCTACTCTACGGTATATAACAACAACATATATATTCCAACATGGACTGCAGGTAAAAGGAAAAATGATCATCATTTGACAGTTTATTAATATTTTTATAGTTTATCAAATATTTTATCTTATTATCTCATATGATCTTCTCAAACAGGTGCTTGACAGATGCAGAAATTAATTCAGAGACATTTAAAAAACAGCCTTCATAAAACATACTTGGGACCTGTTGCAAGGCGCAGGACAGGGAGAGGGACATCATGCTTGGGAAGGTGGAGGAAGAGTGCAGGAGAGGAAGACCCTCAATGAGATAAATTGATTCAGTCACTGGGGTAACGGGGGTGGGTGTGTTGGACACAGTAAGACTGGCACAGGATAGAGCAGGGTTTAGGGCTGTTGAATAGAGGGTCGCTGTGAGTCGCATGCAACACGACAGCACATAACAATAACAGGTCAAAAAGTTAGAAACCTAGAGAGCTAGGTTAAAATCAGGTCTTGATTATGAATATAGCATCATTTACATGAGGAAAAGTGGCCACAGCTGATTGTGCACTGAGTTTTATAGTTTATAGGATGAGTCAGTAATTTCAACTTTTTCTATAAATCTTTCACCTGAAATATGAGCAAGCAGTAATCTTCTGACAAATTTCCCTCAATTATCTTCCTGTAACTAACACTGACAGAAGTGGTAATGAGTCCAAAAGTCACACAGACAAGAGAGACGGAGAAAAAGAAAGGAAAAGACCGGCTGAGTAAGCCATTTAAAAAAAAAAAAGTGTCAGTCTGTCCCTGAATTAGCAGAGCAAAATGACCTTAAGAATGTGGCAAAGAAAGTCAATGTCGCACAGTCAGCTGCTGTGTTACGTGGCATCAAGTCGGCTGCACTCATAACTGGTCCTCTTAGTAGGTTTTCAGAGGCTGTAGATCACATGAGATATTGTCCATCTTTCTCCCAAAGGCGCAGCTGGTAGCTTCAAACCGAGTGCCTTTGGCGTAGGCAGCACAACTCCTTACCTCCAGACCACCAGAGCTCCTGTACACTAACTAGCCTGTATTTTTTTTTCAGGTTTAAATTTTAAAATATATGATAGGACACTGAGATACAAAAATTTTAGAAAAGTGACGGAAGCATCATTGAATGGCAAAAAAAAGTCCCAGACAATACATAGTTCAAATCCACCAGCTGCTCTGTGAGAGAAAGATGGGCAGTCTCCTCCCCTGAGATTTACTGCCTCTGAAAACCTGCTGGAGGGTCAGCTAGGAGGTGGTTAGGACTCAATGGTACACAACAACTACACAAAAGCTCATTTGTTTTATAATGCCAATTAAAACATTTTCTTGATCAAAAATATTTAAAACCTAATTCTACAAAGCCAGAGAATTTCAAAACTTTCAACAATATACCTTACCTTCTGAAAAGTCTGAGCCCAGATTCACTTTCATCCAATACTAGTAAGGTTCCACAGCCTACAGAGAAGGGAAAAATCAATCACAGTCATGCCTTACAACACTAATCACCCAAGGGACCATGTAAAGTCAAGCACTTCATTTTACTATGATAGAATTTTTTCCTCAAAAAAGTTTCTGGAGCATGCATACCAAAGAATCAGGACTAGACTCTCTATTGTTGTCTATCTTGTGCTTCAGTAAATAAAGTCAGTCAGCCATTTCATCTATGATTGAGACAACCTTAAGAGAGAGAATATTTTAAAAATACATTAAAAATTTTAGAAAAAGAGAGAGAGAGAAGAGAGATATTTCAGGAGAAGTGTGGCAACAGGATTGGAGAAAGACTCATCAACAATCTGTGTTATGCAGATGACAAAACCCTG